GAAGGAAATCACAATTGTTTTACAAAGATTTCGATAAAATCGTAAAGAAACACATAAATATCCGATTTCAATAAAAAAAACTTAAGAAAACACCAAAAAAATCCGAAGAAAGAAAGAGAGCCGTAAGCATTCGGGCCGGGCTAGACTCAGAATTAGGTATTCTCGAGGAACTCCGAAGGCAACTATCGGTCACTCGTATGAATAAAGCCCGACATTCAACTAGAAATGTGTCATACTATACCAACTTAGATGGGTACTCCTCCTTAGCCCAATACCGACGATTGACAAGTGGACAATTGAATTTTGTTATTTACAATTTATATTTTAGCATGCATATAGGCTTCATGCATAGAAAAAAAATAGTGTCAATTTTGGTAGTCAAAATATTTTAGAAAATAGTGTATCTGTTCTTATCGTATATGTTCTTATCATTTTTATAAAAAAAATGATTGTCCACAAGTCGATTGAACCGTCGAGTCAGGACTACCAACAACCTAAGAAGGCAAGGGTATTCTGCTAGTCTAGTATCGATAAATAATATCGTCATTGTATGTTTCACCGGGTCCCGGGATTGGGTCCCGATATTGTAGGATGGAATATTATTCTGCTCTACCACCGAATGACTTTATCATCACGGTCTAATACCCAAAAAAACCGTCCAACTTACGATCTTGCTTGATGATTTCACATATAGCCATAGCTATATGAATGCACTTATGTTTCAGACATAAGCACATAAAACTCAAACCAAGAAGCAAGGAAAAATGAACCAAAAAGCAAGAAATGTAAAAGAAGACTAACCCGTCTTTAAAGACAATTTAGAAGGAAAAGCCAAAGTGGTAGGAGGATTAGCCTAAAACATCCAACTGGTGGGACTTCTCGATTAAGCATTGAGATGGGCACCTTCCCAAGCCTCCTCTAAAATGCCAAAAGAAGCTCTCCTCCTTTTTCCTTCTCTTCTTTTTTTTCTTCTTCTTTCTTCTTTTATTGAAATCAATTTGGCCCCAAGAGTTGAGTCTTGAATTCTCCTCAACATTTAGTAGATCGTTCCTCAAAAAAGGAACATTTGAATTCTTCCAAACAACAAAGATTAAAGATTGCAATTTATAAAGATTAAAACATCCAATTTTATCTCAATTAAAGCTTCCATGAGGTATAAATCCATGCAACGCAAAGGAGGCCAAACAGGTGCCCACGGCTAGGAATAGCAGGGGAACCAAACAAATCAGCACTCGGGGAATCAACCCAACAGAAAGACCCTCAAATGGGTGCTCTCGGGTAAGGGTAACAGAGAAGCCACGAAACTGACACAAAAAAAGGAACTGTCTAGATGCTCTCAGGTAGGGGCAGCAAGGAACACATGACCACATCAGGTGATCACAGCTAATGGTCAAAGGCAACAACCACCAATAAGTTCACGGGCAGAGGACAGCAACAGGGAAAGCCATCAGCCTCAGCACAAATAAGAGAATCACAAAAAGGACACCTCACGACCAGGAGCAGCAAGAGGGAGGCCACCAGCCAACACCAAAAGGGATCACAGCTGGATGCTCGCGGGCCAAGAGGAACTAGGGGAAACCACTAAAACCATAACAAGATATTCGAAGCCTTAAAAATCAAAATTTTCATTCGGCACATGTTTCAAACAAGGCAGCAGTTATAAGGAGCAAAACCAAACCCCAAAACAACTTCTCAAAGCATTAGAACAAATTCCAACATATATTCGAATAGGGTGGCATCAATAAGAAATAAACCAAGCCCCAAAATCGACTGTTCAAAACATCAAATAGATTCCAACATATATATTCAAACAGAAGCAGAAGCAGTGAGCAAAATCGAGCCACTAAAACAATTGCTCAAAGTAAGAAATAATTCCAACATATATTCGAACAAGGACAACAGCGTAAAGAGCAAAACTGAGCCACCAAACTAACTGCTCAAAACACCAAAAAATATTACAGCATATATTCGAATAGAGGGAGCAACAAGAAGCAAAACCGAGCCACTAAAACCAAACCTCCAAAAGCCCCAAAATCAATTAAAAGCCGCCTGAATATGTTTCGAGTAGGAGGGCAACAGGGAAGCACAAAACAAAACTCCCAAATTAAAATCTTCAAAAGCATCAGTACAGCAAAGGAAACCGCAACCCATAGGGCTAACACAGCCCAAAAATCCTCCATGTTAAACCCAAGCAGCAAGAAAAACTACAGTCTAGAAGACTAAAACAACCCCTAAACTTCAACATACTAGCATAGATGTGATAAGAACATAAGGAGGAAGCTTAGACATGCATAAGAATTAAACCATGCCTTTCATTAAAGTATATTTTTAGCTAAGTACCATGGAATATTTTAAACAGACCTAATAGCATGTATTTGAACTGAAGTAAGCTAAAATCTAACAGCTAGCCATGATTCCAACATTAAATGTCATCAAGAACAAAATAAACCTGTCACCAACATTAAATGTCATCAAGAACAAAATAAACCCCCCTATGCATGCATTCCCCTATTTTAACGTCTCCAACATGCGTCGAACAGGGAATAAGAGCTAGAGAGAGGAAACATACCTTGTTTGGGCTTCTGTAATCAACAAAAGAAAGCCACGACACTCCTAAACCTCAAGCTCACAAGCAAAGCCACAACACTCTCGGACTCCAAGCTCACAAGCACCTAGCCGAGAAGAAATTTCGGCAGAACCTCCCCAGGCCTCAAGCTTTGTAACCTCCCTGAGAACTCTCCCCAACCGAGTTTTATCGACACCAGAGAGAAAAAAGTAGCTCGTGGGACTTCTCTGACAAAGCACGACACCCAGCCGAGAGAAAAAAGAACACCCCAGTCGAGGCCACAGAGAAGAAAGATCGAGAACGAGGAGAAATTTCCCCATTCGTAACCCAGGTAACACACACACCCAGTCAACCTACCCCGAATGAGCCTCCGCACAGCGAAACGAAGTAGAAAGCTTTGAAAAGAGGAGATTTTAGGAAGAGGATGTCAAGAGGAGAAGAGTCAACTCCTCGTCACATGAGGAGGAGAAAACAAGCCAGGAGACGCGCGGTTAGGGCTCAATCCAAGCACAGGCACGAAGAAGGGAGATGGCAAGCCCACGAGAGGAGCCAGAGCATCAAGCTTGGGACGGAAACCAGAGGGGGTCCCGATTTTGGGGAGGCTAAAAGCTTGAGTTTCGTCGGGGTTTTCCTAGGGTTTTCCTAGGGTTTCAGATCCTAAGAATATTCGACTTGAGATCGCAATGGGTTTTCCTAGGGTTTCAGATCCTAAGAATATTCGACTTGAGTTTTGTCGCGTTGGTTTTAATTGACTCAACTAAGCGTTGAAGATTTTAGAACCAGTTACATGAAACTGCGAGGAGTCAAGAAGTGGCTCGAATTTCTAATCGGTGTGGGCCCCAGGCTAGTTCTCTAAGAGAGTCGGTAGGAAACCCTAAAGACTAGACCCTATGCTCTAAAAAGAGGAAGATACCTCACCAAAAATGAGGTCAACAACGCCATGGTTATGAAAAACTTTTAGAAGCCCACAATTTGGGCTTTATTGTTAAATAACTGTATGTTATCATTTTTCTCTCTCTTTTATACATTCCCTTCATCTTCCCCCGTGGAAGTAAAATTAAAATGATGCGTTCAAGCTTTGCGTTATTCACTTCAAATCCTAGTTCGTGATCAGCTTGTATTATATTTATTTTCTAATGTCTCAAACGCAATTCATTTTCTCCCATATCTTCCCTAATTATCTAATACCCTCACACATCCTCAAAGCTCCATGCAACGACCTCCATCCTCTTCTAGAGCATTTGGCCACACTCCCATTTTTTAATGACTCAAACCCTATTACTTCCTTTTTCTCCCATATCCTCCCTTATTCACCAACATCCTCACACATCCTCAAAGCTCCATGCAATAACCACCGTCTTCCAAAGCATTTGGCTACGCTCCCATTTTTTAAACCTAAAATTCAAATACCTTCGTACATACACCTCTACAATCCCTACAAACTCCTACCAAAAACTAGGTTACATCTTCGCCTAACCATAGACGTCCTATTTCAACCCTAAGAAAACCCTTGGCCTCCCCAACTAAGTCTGTAAAATCTATGGTGGGCTCATGAGTTTCCTATTCTTGAAGAGACAGTACTCGCTACAATTTACTTCCATTTTGTGTACTCCCACCTATCCATCATATGCATAACCTCTTCTTTCCTCCCACTTCTAAAGTGGCTTGGAGGCTGGCCACACTGCCATGCCCAACCTACTATCAACTTCATGTAGATGGATTAATAAACTCCATCAAGTTGGTGATAACCATACTTGAGATTCAAAGATAATATTGATATACATACATGCTGGTTGATGGACATGCCTTGTGATGTTAACTGTAATAGAAGCATTATATTATGTTATATGATTGGATTACACATTAGTTAGACAGTGTTGACATATGGTCATGAGACCACACACAAATCTACAACGATTGACTTATACAATTATTTATCCTTTTTTACGCAAGCACTGTTGCACTTGTTGATTCAAGCCAATTTGATTGTATAGATATTGTTATGTACTTGTGCCTTGATATTTGTGTGATCTTTTAGTGAACATCATGCTCCAATTCCTTGTCATTTAGGCATTGAAGAATGTATTATCAAAGAGTTTGCTTTGTAAATTCAACTTGACAGTTTTATAGCCCAGGTACCAACAATTTATGTTTTTATCAATAGTCAAATAGAGATCATAGTTTTTTCGATAGAAAAGGACTAGCATTCATTTGATCTTGATTCTTGGAGTAAAAAAGACACATTATTAGATATGCATAGACAAGAATATGGCACTAAGAAAAGCTTTATTTACCTCAAGGAAGCATGAAAACATTAAAGTGAAACATGCTGACATTGAAGACAAAGGCAGATGAAAATATATCTTTGATAGCTTAAGCAATGCTGAGTTCGAAAAAAGAAAAAACGAGTTTGAAAATGGTCAAAATGTGTCACCTTATTATAGGCAAGTGCAATGGAGACTGCGCCTCTCATAAGTCCAGCCCACCATATAATAACCTGCTGATAAGGTAACGAGTTAAATTTCTATATCAATTTCTAAGGTAACATCAGCGCACAATGCCAAGGATGCCAGCCACTCACTTGCTTTGTAAGAGGGAGCCTTTCACTCTGAGATTTCTTAGTTAAATTGGAAAGAAAAGACAGTGGAAAAACAAAAGCCGCTCTTCAACCAAACCAAGAATAATTGAGCTAACACCAATTGATTTTCCAGGGCTGCAGATGATAACAGCAAAAATAATAATTCAGACAAAAGTCAAGTGTCAAGTATATTCATTTATGGAAGCACTCTAACAACTGATTTATAAATTAGTGCATCTAGCTTTTCAGAGAATGATCTTCAAACTCACGAAAATCAAGACTGGCAATAACAAGAACATGATATGCTACATTTATCACGCTATATTTTGGCAGTTTAAGAAACCATATAACCTGCTAACTCTGGAACTATGATATTGTGATAATTAGTGCCGCTACAAAATGTGAGGCCTTGATAACAAAGCTTTACTTTCACCAGCTAGCTGCATTAAAAAAAAAATATTGATTTTGTTTCCTCCCCAACTTAAATATGGAATCATAAATTGCAAGCTACACAAAAATACCACATATGGTAAATGATATGTGAATCCTTTCACAACATCATAGATTGATGGCAGGATCACAATCAGAGAAAAAAATGAAAGCATACACAACTATCAGTGTCTGCATTCTATGATAACAAGTTATCTGTCAAAGCTATCTAACAAAAGCTAGTTCTATAGGAAATTATCAGCAAAGACCCTAAAGTAGCATAAACTAATGAAATTTTCTGATGATTTAACTGTTAATTCTAATCCTCTTCAAGAAAGTGATGAACAACATCTGCTTACTGACATAACCCAAGTCTACAGTGAGTCTGGATAAGGTTCTTCAAATCTAGAGCCAGTGGATGCTTGGAGACACTAGTCCAAGGTCACATAATTCTAGGCCAGGCTATGGTTCACCAGAGAATCACAACTTATGCCTATACAACAACAACAACAACAAAAAACCTATATCCCACTCAGTGGGGTCGGCTACATGAATCCTTTTTCTCCATTGAGTCCTATTGAGCGACATATTTTCATTTAATTATAATAAATTAAGATCATATTATATACAACATGCCCAAGTCTTTTTAGGTATACCTTTACCTTTCTTAACATAAATTGAATCTGAAACATCTAGTCTCCTAATTAGATCATTAGATAGTCGACGTCTAATGTGACCAACCCATCTAAGATGAATCTCTCTAATCTTGTCTGCCACTGGAGCTACACCAACCCTTTCACAGATACATTCATTTCGTATTTTGTCTTAAGTGTCAAGCCACTCATCCACCTAAAGCATTCTCATCCTAGCAATACTGAACTTTGTTTTATGCTTTTCTTTTAAAGGCCATAGGCCAACATTCTACGCCATAAAACATTACAAGTCTAACCACCATCTTATAAAATTTTCCTTGAAGTCCAAGCGGTACTTTTCTTTCACAATAGGCCCAATGCATTCCTCAACTTCAACCATCCAGCTTGAATTCTACTAATAACATCACCATCTATATCACCATCACTTTGAAAAATAGACCTGAGATATCTAAAATGTTCGCTCCTTTTAATGATTTGATCACCTATTGTTACAACGTTGCCACTAGATCTAATAGTACTAAAATTACATTTCATATATTCAGTTTTAGATATACTCAAATGAAGGCTAATAGACTAATGTAAACCTCCATATTCAAGTTTTTCCTGAACTTGCTCTCTAATCTTATTCACAAACAAAAATATCAGCAGCGGAGAGCATACACTAAAGTACATCCTCCTATAAATGTCCAATAAGAGTTTCCATAACTAAAGCAAAATGATATGATCTTCAAGCCGATCCCTGACGTACTCCAACTGAAATAGGAAAATACATGGTCAATCCTCCTTCCGTTCGAACACAAATAACATCTCTAGCATACATATTTTTAATGATTTGAATATAAGTCATATCAGCACCTTTATTTTCTAGAACTCTCCAAAGAACTTTTCTTGGAACTTTATCGTAAGCTTTTCTAAATCAATAAAAATCATTTGTAGATCCTCCTTACTTTGTTTGTACCTCTCAATAAATGTATAGCTTACATAGTAGACTTGCCCAACATAAAACCAAACTAATTATGATAAATCTTTGTATCACGTCTTAACCTATGTTTAATTACCCTCTCCCATAATTTTCCCCATAATTTGAATGTTTGACACATTAATTTATTTCTTCTATAATTTGGGCATTCTTGTGCATCCCCTTTATTCTTAAAAATAAAGATCAAAATACTCTCCCTCCACTTCGCAGGAATAGTTTTAGTTTATAAAATAATATTAAAAAGTTTAGTAAGAAAAGAAATTCCCAAATCTCCAAAAAATTTCCACACTTCTATTGTGATACCATCAGGTCCTACTGATTTTCCACCTTTGGTTTTCTTTAAAGCTCCCACAACTTTCTTTTTACAAATGTGACATTAAAAATAAGAAGTTTTATTATTATTAACGATATTCAGGGCCTGTTTGAGGCAGCTTATAAGTGCGGCGGCATTTTGAAAAAACCGCCTATATGTTTGTTTCGCACGTTTCTACAGATTATTTGAAAACCACGTTTAATTTTTTCTATTACACGCAGATCGCGGGGTTATACCCGCGATCCGCGTTTTCGTCCCTCATTTTACGCCTCTACCCCGAACCTTCGCTCTCCTTCACTGAAATCCATTCGAAGTTGGTTGCTCTCCGTCGCCGAAAGCCAGGCTCCCCCTCCTACACATCCTCTATCGCTCTCCTCCGGGCCCCCTCCTCCTTCCGTCCGATCCTACCCCAAATATCCCCTTCTCGAAACTCCGTTTCCTTTAATTTTCCTCAGTACAGAATGAGGCAGTTCGGCCAAGCCAAGCTTCCTGTTTCTTTCATCTCCAAATCAAGGTATAAATCACCTGTAATAATTTCTTATGCTACTCTAATGCCCCATTTTCATTTCATATGCTTGAGATTCTACATTTCTAAGATTTTTTTCTGAGTTTTTTGTGCATCCTTGTTCCAGTTCAAGATCCACAAGTTAAAGTTTGGAAGAAGCCGATCTCTCTGTCAGGGTTCTTAAACAGAAAGCTAGGAAAAACCAGAGAAAAATTATTACAGGTGATAAATGTCTGCTTCGGTATAATATCCATCAGTCGTGTATTTAGTGAGTTATTAGCCCTAATGGAGTTTAATTCATAGGGAAGGCAATGGTCCTGCTAGCTGGTTGACGAAGTTGGGCTCTCTTGTTCATGGAGTTACAGTTGACACTTTTCCTCCCCCTTATCTCAGACAACTGATTCATGAAGATACGTTGGATATACATTCTTATGGTTTAGTTATTTTGGGTTTTTGATATCTTTTAAATTTTCTTGGTGGTGGGATCCTTAGGTTTTATTTTTTTTGTGCTTTAGTGCTTTGGGTTTAGAAGGATCTACAACTACTTTTTGTATTGTGCTTGATATAAATAAAATTCTCTATAATATGTAACTGCCCCTTTATAATATTCCTTTCAAATATAACATAATAGAGTTGGAAAAAGCACAGATTAGCAATAAAGAATACTGGGCATGTAAAGCAATATTTAGCTTGAGCATAGAAGAAACAATTTCCTTTCTGTTATTGCCACCTAATTAGTACGAATGAGCTAAGAAAATGGAATGAACAATATGGATTTATGACTTGACATTTATGAAGGATGTACCTTTGTGCATGCTTTTCACTGGTGATATATTTGTAATGGACAAAACTGAATATATGGTATCTCATTTTAGTAGTGATCGATCTAGTGGCGGGGTTGTAACAATGGTTGATCAAGGCATTATGTTTCTAGGGAAGAGAAGCATAAAATCAAGTGTTGTTGAAATGATAATTTTTGTAGCATGAATGACCTCTTAAAATGTATAATTTTTGTAATTTTGATAAAGTTGAAGTTTGTTTTTGTTTCATTTTTGTAGAGCTGTTGAATGATCTGTGTATATTAATGCTAAAGGATGAATATGGCATGAATTGTATGCTCTGTTTAAATACTTGAGTAAGCTTATTAGTTCATGTAAGAGATAGGATAATTTCATACTGTTATGAAACTTATGTATCTACTGAAAGTAATGGACAATTATCAATTGAAGAATTTGTAAGAAGTAATAAACAATTATCAGTTGATGTAATCACCTCCATATTAGTATGTGAAGGTGTATTTTACTTGATATGATCATAAATATTTGAGTTATATAAATGTAACTCAATTCTTTTGTATTTTCATGTCTTAACATTTCAACTTTAATTTTGTTGAGAAAATTACAAATTCTGCGTGACAGATTGTTCATTCAACTAAAAAAGACTGTAAATAAGCTGTTTACAAAACACACAAACCAAACAGTTAAACAACTTATCCACAACAGGGACAGAATAGTCATTTATCCAGAATCAGCTGTTCTCCAAACGCACAAACCAAACAGCCAGCCAGTTTATCTAGATCAGCTGATCATCAGCAGATTATCAGGATAAGTTGCTTATCAGCAGAAGCTGGATAAGCTGCAGCTGCCCCAAATAGACCCTAAGTTCACTAAGGTTGATCTATTTTTAAAAACTTCATTGAAAAGTATCAAAATATCTCACTCACTTATGTTGAATATATTCCTCTAAGGAAATCACTTTTTTTTCATCTTTAGTAAATTAAACTTGAATTAAATCTTTCTTTTTCTTTTCTCTTTGTTTGGCTTATTTATACATATATTTTTCTCTCCTTTCAATCTATTGTAAAGATCACTAAAAGAAGAATTTTAGCAACACAAATTATGACCTTAGACTCACTATGGGTCACCATATAATTTTTTCAGTTCTCTAAACTTTTACATTTAAATCAATTTTATAAAAAAACTTATTATATTTATCTTTTCATACACATTATTATTCTACCACCAACTATTTTTAATTATATAAAATTTTCCTTTTGATTCTCCAAGTACATCTTTTTTCACTTATTTAATAGTGTTTGTTACTTTATCCCACATAGAATTAGCCTCTTCACGAATATTCCAAATCTTAAAATATTTAAGTTTACTCATTAAAATAATTTTATTTATCTTTCAGGATTCCTCTATCTAATTTTATGATATAGTTTCATTGTATTATTTATCTTCCAACTCTTCATCTTAAATCCAAAACTAATAATTGATGTTGAGTATTTAAGTTTTCACTTGAAGTGACCTTACAATCTTTACATTCTCAGCCATTTATTTTTATCATAAGAAAACAATCATAATGTGTTTTATTAGATCCATTCTTATAAGTAATAATATGTTCACCTATTTTCTTAAATAAAGTATTAACAATAATAAGATAATTAGCTAAAATAAAATCTAATATGATTCTATCCTCTTCACTAATCACTCAAATTGTAGCCACTATGAATATTTCAAAAATTTTCTACCACTACCATCATGACCGTTTAAATCTCCTTCAATAAAAAAATTTTTTCTTCAAAAAGGTATCATTTGTATTATTTCTTCTAGCTCATTCAAAAATGTTTCTTTTGAAGTCATTAAAGATAAGCATACTAGAGATGTTACTTGTGTTCGAACGGAAGGAGGATTGACCAAATACCTTTCCTATTTCAGTTATTTCAGTTGGATTACATCAGGGATTGGTTTTAAGCCCATATCTTTTTTTCTCTAGCTTACTGAACATTTTACAGCAGGATGTACCTCGGTGTATATTTTTCGCTGATGATATTCCTCTCGTGGATAAGACTAGAGAGAAAGCTTAGGAAAAAAATTGAATTATGGAGGTCTACATTGGAGTTTAAAGGCCTTCGTTTGAGTATAAATAAAACTGAATACATGGAATATAATTTTAGTAGTAGTAGCTCTAGTGATAGAGTTGTAACTATGGGTGATCAAATTATTAAAATGTGTGAACACTTCAAATATCTCGCGGCTATTGTTAAAAGTGATGGTGATATAGATAGGGATGTTATTAGTAGAATTCAAGTTGGTTGGTTGAAGTGGAGGAATGCTTCGAGCTTAGTGTAAGATATAAAAGTACCGCATAGACTAAAACGAAAATTTTATAAGATGGTGGTGACTGTTGAGACCTACAATGCTCTATAGCACTGCATGTTGGCCCTTAAAAGAGAAGCATAAAACTAAGTTGAGTGTTGTTGAGATGAGAGTGATTAGGTGGATGAATGGCTTTACACTTAGACAAACTGCAAAATGAATATACCTGTGATAGGGTTGGTGTAGCACCAGTGTCCGACAAGATTAGACAAAGTCCTCTTAGATGGTTTGATCAGATTAAATCTCTACTATCTGATGATCTGATTAGGAGAATAGATGTTTTAGATTTGATTTATGTTAAGAAAGACAGAGGTAGACCTAGAAATATTTGAGCATATTGTATAAAAAATGATATTAATTTATTATAATTAAATGAAAATATGACACTCAATAGAAAGCAAGAAAAAAAAGGATTCATGTAGCTGACCCCACTTAGTGGGATAAAAGTTTGTTAATGTTGTTGTTGTTGTGAACATATATCTAAACCTGCTGGAGAAACATAAATACTTATAATATTAAAAATCTTAGTTTCAACAATAATCTTTAGGACTATAATTCTATCTCTAATTCTATTAATTTTTACAACATTATCTTTCAAACTCTTATTTATAATTACACTTTTACTATTTCTAGCGCGACTCACATCTAAATATGAAAGTTTAAAACCTAAGTTATCAATCTCATTAGCTTTTACTCCAACCCATTTAATTTCTTGAATCTATAAGATATTTATCTTCCTATGAACCATAATATTTACCAATTTCATTAATTTGCATATGAGAGTACCTATATTCCAAGATCCAATCCTAATATTAGTTTCATGGACTAACTTATTTGCCCTCATCCGCCCATAACATGGAAACCCTTGCTTATTTAAGACTAAACCTGAGTGTTGGTGAAGTGGTCTTGCACACTTTTCAATGTATTCAAATCAAGAACGTATCATGTCGAGGGGATGTCCTAACATTTACACAATTGTTTAAATGATTCATGTCATGATTTTTTTGGCAAAAAATTTATGTTGGTTGTAGATTAAGTGGCGCAACACTTCACTTTTCGCATCTGAGGCTTGGGATTCGACAATGGCAATGCTAAAATTAAAATGATATCATTATACTAAGCACACAAATGCATGCAAAAAAAAGTTCCCAGTCACTCAGGCAGTGCAACTTTCAGTAATCTTATAATTTGACCCAGTTCAATAACTACTATTCATAATGACAACGAATAGAAACCACATAATAAAAAGAATTGCAAGAGCAAAATTCCAAGTACATTATTAACATTTACAAAAATAAATGTAATTCCATGAGGGAAAACTATAAATCTCATTTCAGAAGCTGTTATTAATCTGTTCATTTTAGAAACATATTGTAAATTAGTGCAAAAAAAGAAATAGATAATACCTGGAACTGACAAATTTCCACTTCTCGATGTCTAATGCATCCATTCCAACATAAAGAAAGAGGAAAGTCTCAGCAATAAATGACAATGTTGCAAAAGCATGCCTGCAATAAATAATCAGCAAATCTTTCATAAGATCATATCTATAAAAGATGCGAAAAAAAAAGACTCTTAGATTAAAGAGCGCAGTTCTAAATTTCAACTTACTTGGTAGTAATTCTAGAACTCTCAGTCACATTGTGCCAAGTATAATGTGACATCACTATTCCACAGAAAAATACTGTCAGAATTCCACTGAGATTTAATAACTGCAAAACCAATAAGGGATTTAATTAGAAAGTTTTATATGGATCAAGACAAAAAGGTGCATTTCGCATACAATACTAATTGATAGATGAAAAGAGTAGCAGAAATTGCTAGATCTTTGATCTAAGTTATGAATCTTACTTCAGCTAGCATGTAAGAAAGATATGCCAAGAGCATCATAATTGCAACTTCACGATCAGTCGAATGCCTGAAATTAAAAAATAATAAGTAATGCCATATTTATAAGTATTTTGAAAAAGATAAATGAATTCGCTGAATTTGTTTCTGATCAGGGGTGACAGCATGGTTACATTCATGATACCGTAGCAAGTGAATTATAAATTACTAAACAAATCAAGAGTATCTTTATTTGATCATGCTCCGTTGTGCATTTCTGATACAAAATATAGTTGCCGCTACTATAAGAGAAGCTCTGCAAGCAGGTTTCACTTAGCCATGAAGCTATGTGGAATACTGGGATATGAATGTGCAAACTAGTGAGTTTTGCTTTATGTTCCCACTCCACTCAAATTTGTGATGCCATATTTTTTAAAGCAAAGAATTCTTTTCAAGTCATTTTCTTTCCAAAATTTGATGTAATAGACTTTTGATCTATGTAGGAAGCATACAGAAATAAGCTCTAAATTATGCATGCCTATCCTCAGTGGCTTCAAGACCACAAGCAATACACATGCTGCGCTGCCCATTCTTGCGAGGATAGTAGTGACTCTATTACTTACCAAAGAACGAAACAAAACATCAGCAAAATATAGCCAAAAAAAAAAAAAAAAAAAGGAAAAACCTTGTGCAAATCTACAAGTTATATGAGAGCTTGTAATGCTTACAAAAGTTATCTATAGATAGCATAAAAACTATCAGGGAAGGCTTAGTTACTGGCAACATACCTGCCGAAGTATAACTTCTTGATGACATAAGCACTTAGCAATCCACTCTACAGATGATACAATAAAATTGGACTTTGTAAAAATAATAATAATAATAATAACATACATTTGACATACTTGAGAAAATAGAAATACAGAACTTACAAATGCACCAAGCAAAGTGCTACTAAAAAACAAATAGATGAAGTTGCCAATGAACTTCAATATGATTACAGCATCAATGTGCACTAAATCAAAATTCTGGAGTGCATTGAAAAGCACAACTGATGTGGCATCATTTACAACACCTTCACCAAAGACCAAGCTGTAAAGGAGAGGTGTCTCATCTTGATTAAGAATCTGCATAAGTAATAAGTTGCTTACATTGAATGTTTTTTTTGGAAGCAAAACGAAAAGTACAACACCATAAATCTCAAGAACCTGCAAAGTGCAAACAGAATCCGTTGCAGAAAATATAGCCCCTACAGCTGCAAACAAAAGTAAGGATGTAAATGATGATTAGCAGATGGCAGGTAAGATTAAGTATTAAGAGATAACATATCTGGATCAACTTTGAATATAAAATCAAATCTTACCAAGATAGTCTCCAATGTCAAGGCCTATATTCATTCTCCTAAAGAACTCAGTGGCACCTGAATTTATCAATTCAATCATTTAAAAAAAAATCATAAAAGGAGAATCGATAATACGATTCTATGCAAAAAAGTCAACAAAATTCCTTTATAATAATCTGAAACATTTTTTACTTTTCACGCCCTGTAATATATAATAGTTATGCAGATATGTATAACGTTTAAGCTGATGTCACAGCTTGAGATGTTTATATATTGGAATGCTGGAAAAATATAGTATGAAATTATCTACCTTTAGTGTAAACTGATCCCCGAATATCAAAGGATGCATCTTTTAACACATATTTGCATCCCCTACATGGTTACTGGTCACAAACTTGAATTTCATTGAAGCAACGTGGACAATGAAGCTAGCAATGGGCTTGGTAGAAGCCTTAAACTCCTTGAGGTAACCAGTTTATGGAATTATAACTATAGCTATTATAATGTACGAGTATTTTTGGGACAAATTATATAGTTATCTGCACTACTGTCAAAAAGGCTTGAAACTTTGTCGAGTAGAGATCACCATCAGTGTTTAACATTTTCATCCAAATCACTGGTAATTCGTCATTTTAACTAATTTGCAATTCTAATAAACAGTAAATATCAACCAAATTTCCATCTTTTTAGAGATTTCAGTAAAAAGACCAATGTCTATAAAAACTTGTAGAAGATGTCTTTAGATATTGCATCATATGTTTTACTTTTTTCAGCAATGTTACAATTAAGGCGATAAAATATTAAAGAAAAAAATAAATGTTTCAAGCCATAGTATGAATAGTATAAAATGTTTAGAACCATTTCCTATCCTAATTGATAATTATTTCATATATGCTTTAAATGAAAATAGGCAAATGAGAGTTCATGTTTTTTAATTCTTAACAATATTGACTCGAATATTCTTGAACTTCAAAATATGCTAAGCCTGTTGCTCTATTGAAATCTTTGCGGACATAATAGTAACCATTATATAGATTGCATAGAATTTCTATTCTGACTTGTAGGATTTTAATTGGTATCCGAATTTCATGGTGCATCTCATGAATTTTGAAGCTTCATTTAAGAAAGTTTTTCATTTTATAGAAATTATAAGATTTTTTAAAAAAGCCTCAATTTTAAACCTACATCACATACCATCTTTATTCAATTTACTGTTAAATTAAAATAACATTCGAGTATTCTATAGTAATTTTAGAGGATGTTGGTTCAAAAAAATTGAAGTAACAGTGCTTTGATGAATTCATCAATTGAAAAGTACAATAAAATAAGTATATGACTTGTAAACATTATAGATTTTCGTAAGAGTCCAAAAAATTGTTTGTGCACTTTTCATAGGAGATTGAAGAGATTCTTTCAACTATGCACACGACAATAACATGATGCAGAACTGACACTTTCACTCACCAATTAACTGCATAAATTGAGCCGAAAACTAACGGACAAGGATCGGATAGAGTTATAACTTTATCTTATTTTTCTAAGAAGCTTGTTAATATTGAAAAATGATCAAGGAAAACAAAGTGTTAGAACTCACCAACAGATATTACGAAAAAGGAGATTAATGTCCCAACTGCACCGAACAAAGTGATTGTCATGAAGTTGTGGAAAAATTGTTTCTTTTTAACTTGAAACCTGGCACAAAGGAAACAATAACCAATCATTCAATCTCTCATTTGAAGCTATGCAACCATTTCAAAACTCAAGAATCAGGCACAATGGGTTAGTACGTGAAAAACTCTTAGTGTCACTGAAAGAGTTCCAAAGAACCTTGCAGAAAGAGAAAAATCAATAAACTTTCAATTTTCACTCGAAGCTATTTGTCCATTTTCTCAAGAATAATGCACACTCGGCTGGACGAAGCTAAATGTTTAAAGTAAGAAGCATGACATTCAGTAAAAAGTTAGCAAACAAGAATAAAAAACAATAAAGCTGAGGCTCATCAAAACTGGAAAACACTCAAATGTGACAAAACTGAATTTCTTGTGCAACGTAGAAAAATCAGAGCAAGCATGTCCAAATTAGCATGTTAAACCAAATGATGTTGGTTCCGAAATTTTGTGCTGATACTATTTAGTTCCAAGTCATATTTTCAGAAGTGAGATTAAATTTTACATAAGACACTAATAAAAGAGTTCACTGTCACTTTGCAAGGATTTTAGTATATGATTCAATGTTTTCAAATTTTACAATGATTATATGCCCCTCCTTGTGAATTTAAATTAAGGCAAGTCATTAGGTGCTTAATGCTCGCATTTAATAAGATCAATATTGGTTTTATTGTTCATAAAATTTATTACATTTAGTTTAAGCGGATGGTGTCATGAACCCTAATATATTAAACCAACTTGACCAAATGATCAACAACCATATCTCATTGTTTAAAGGGAAGTTATAGACTTGGCCACTTGGGGTGCATGTTTATTGCCCTGAGTGGATATTTTCAAGCCGACCACAGCTAATAGGGAGTTTGTTCCCAATTAAATTCACTCTACAATTCACCATTCAAGAAATTTAGATTATTAAGAAACTCATGGGCTCTAGCTGTGACCGTAATTTAATGATATTATCTTGTGGTAAACCACCGAATCAAAGGACACCGATCATAACTTTTCTTTTTTGTAGTGTCATCCAATAATAAAATCTCATAATCAAAGGATATGAAAATGTTGGAAAGTGATTAGGGATGTAAGTGAGTCTGCTCGATAAGTGGCTTGTGAACTGAGCTCAATGAGCTAACAAGCCAAGCGCAAGCTAGCCCCAACTCGACTCGTTAGTTTGTGATCTGTTTAAAAAAAATATGAATATTAAATATATTTAAAATATATTAAATTTGAAGACTTAATTTTTTAAATATTAAAATCATTTAAAAATAATATTTTATATTTTATATGAGGTGATTTCTTATTGTTTCTCTCTTAATTGCTCATTATATTTGTCATTTTATTATAACACTATCCTAAATTAATATTATTTTCTCTTTTATAATAAACAAGTTGACTCGTGACTCGGCTCGAACTCGTAGACCTACGCTCAAGCTCGATAAAATTAATCAAGCTCAAGTTAAGGGTGGCTTAAGCACTCGACTCGTTTACACCCCTAAAAGTGACAATAGAGACACTTTATACGACATTAGTTTTTTATGAACTGAACTTTAAATGAAATTAGTCACCCTCGTTAAGATACTGTGAACGATAAATATATATTTGCTCACTTTAAACAACACATTTTGCTTTTAAATCTACAATTTTGCAAATCTTATATGTAAGTTTTCAAGTTTGATTGAGATTCAAGCTTAAAATGTTTTGCTTTGAAATTTGGGGGTGTTTTTTGTCAGAGGGTTCTCTTCAGTTGAGATCTTTGTCACCACAATAATCATTTGAGTATTTGAAAATTTTTATTTTGACACTTTGATCTTATCGACTTTGCTTGCTTGCTTGCTTGTAGAGAACTGAATCAATAGTTTAAAGTCATTATTAAACTTTATGAGCAAAATAGTATAGAGATTCAATTTAGAATGATTTTTATGAAAAATGTGTTAAGGTTGTATGTGATTGGGAGACCAGACATTTTAATATAATTTTGTGGTTATAAATTAAATTTATGGTCCAAAATGACCAGCTTATTATATAAAAACAAGAAAAAAACTTAAATCAATTTTGATATGTCTTGTTGATGCTAACACACATTATGTAAAGAATCTAACTTACAAAATGAGACTTAGGACCCTACACTTTAAGTAGGGTAGCCCAGTCAAAAACATTATGTGACATAACAGATTGATGAGTTAAGTAACGTGGGGCTCTGGCAGGGAACCGGTCTAGCTGGGAGGTTGGACCGGCAGCCCAAGCTGGTGGAAATTATCGCCCCTCCTTTTTCCCCTTCCTCTTTGATCCCTTGCATATTCTATTCCCCTTCCTTTTATATGGCTCTCATATTCTGCTCTTTACCTATTTTATGTCCCTTCCTTTTCTATTTCTTTGCCATTTTGCTCCTTGCCTATTTTATTTATTAAACCCCATTATATATGTGTGTTGTTTGGTTAAGACATTTTTTTATTTTTCCGAGTTCAGAATCCTGCCTACATCATTTTCTCCTTCCGATGGTTGTATTCGACAACGAGAAGGTGCTTCGGTTATAACTAGTCCAAGGTGGTGACTATCTCCACTATTCTCTCACTTTCCAACTGCCACCAGTCAAGCCCAACACCCGTTCTAGCAACTCCCAGTAGGTCACCAACCACTCCCAGCACAGCAGTCGCCCGCTGCCCTTCCACCTCCAGCCGCCTCAAACACTTGTTGTGTTCTCCAGCACCATTCATGTTATTTGATGATTCTGGTATCCACCCAACAGCCAACCACGCGCTGCTCCATTTAGCACTGCTTATGTCGACTGCCTTCCTCTTCCAGAAGCCACCCACACCTATCCGACATTGCAGTCACCAGCTACCCTTCACCTTACGACAGCCACCCACACTTATTACTCGCTCTAATACCGTTAATGCCTGCTAGCCTTCGCCTTTCAGCAACCGCCCACATCTACTGCTCCCTCTAGCGCCACTGTCGCCTACTGCAATACTCCTCCTGCCTCCTTTCAGCCACCAACCATCTGGTCGTCCACCTGCTGTCACCGCTTCCAGCAACCGGCCAAAACCCACCTTGTCACCGATGTCCGTGGATATTCTCCTTAATCCACAGTCGGATATTACTAGCCTTGTTTTCATTATTGGAGTCTTAATTGTACCTCTAGTTGTTTTGCTTAATAATATTTATTTTTGTCGTCGTGGGTTGAGTTAACTCCAGTATCATCTTAGAGCTAGCCCACCCTAATCTTATCATGGGATTCCTAGAGTCCGCCATTTCTTTTCTTTCCTTTTTTGTTTCCTCTTTTTTCTTCGTTATTTTTCATTCTTTCTTTTCTTTCTTCTTTCACAGATGCTAAAACTTCAACCATGCCCTCGAAGAGATACCTGCCAAACCCCACCTGGGATGAAATACAACGGGAAGTCGGTCTCTTGCAATAACGATTAGCAGGGATGGATGATGGGACCTTGGGGGTTATTATCCTTGACCGTGATCTGGAGAGTCGAATGGGTGACATAAATGAAGATCTGAATTTGTTCTACTGAGAAGACATCAACGACGAGGAATACTGATCGTGCCGCCTTGAAATTCAATATCAGAGGAGGCCAAGAAAGGAGCCCACATATGGGGGACACAAGGACTTGGGCATCAAAGTGGATCTGTCAGGGTTTGATGGAGGCATGGACAAGGGGGGGGGCTAGCAAGGCAATACATGGAAATGATAAGCAAGATGAAAGTGAGAAGAAACAGGAGAAAGACAGCTCTTCCAATACAATACTAGTCAGGTGTGTTTTAAGTGCCACGACTACGAGCATATAGCCTTCAACTGTCCCACGAGCCGAGTAGTTTCATTCACAGATCAAGGCGCCCTCGACTAGGTGGACGAGTAGTTAGAGAATAGCCCAGAGGAAGAGCTTCAATTTGCTGGGAATGGGGGCGAATTGCTAGTCATACAGAGGGTTTTGCAGTCAAAGCTAAAGCGGGATCAATCCTGATTAAGACACAACATCTTTTGCACCTAGCGCACATTAAAGGGTACAACTTGCAACTTAATCATTAACAATAAGAGTTATGAAAATGTGGGGTCACCATAGATGGTAAAGAAATTGGTAGGGGTGTCAAAAAAATGTCTGAAACGCCAACACAACTCGAATTCGACTCAAAAAATCCAGGTTAAAGTTGACCTAAATATTTTTCTAGTCAGGTTCAGATCAGAGAATTCAACTCATTTATTATTCGGGTCGAATTCAAGTTGAACCCAAAAACATAAACGTGACCCAAATAAGTACAAAATTTCGAGTCGGGTTCAGATTATCGGGTCAAACTCGGGTTCGAGGCGAGTTTGAAAGTTTGTTTAGGGCAGCTGCAGCTTATTCAGCTTATCCAAATAAGCAGTTTATCCTAATAATCTGTTGATTACTAGCTAATCCAAATAAATTGTCTGACTGTTTGGTTTGTGCGTTTGAAAAATAACTGATTCTGGATTAATGATCAATCTGCTCCTGTTCTGGATAAACTGTTTAGTTGTTTGGTTTGTGTGTTTGGAAAACAACTGACTTACAGTTTTTTGTTGATAAAAGACCATTCAAACATTATAAATTTTAATTTTTCAAAAATTATTTTTAAATTATATGTAACATAAATTGTAATTAATAATTTATATTTTACACTAATTTTAAAATAAATTAATTTAAATTTAATTTATTAACAAAATTACATGTCGCCGCCCTTAAAATATATAAGCTACATGAATCTTTTTTTATCTATTGTGTTCTATCTAACAAATAAAATTTAATGTTTGCAGATTTCACCCAAGAACAAATTTAACCTGAAAGCAGGCAAGCAAATTTCTATCAGATTGGAAAGTATTTGGCGCTTCTGTGATCAAAAACACAAATCAAAGAATCTATAACTTCAATAATCAAGTTTATGAGCATCTCATACCATAAATTTTCAAATTATGAAATTCAGACAAAAGCCAGCTTCCGTTAACACCTTTGTCTCCCCTGCGGGAGTTCGAAATAGCTAGGAAGGCGACAACAGGTCGATTGT